AACGGATCATCTCCGGCAGTAGCAAATACTCCGAGTATTCTGCCCAGTACGCTCTCGCCTGGGATCCACGCAGTTCTGATAGGGTGAGTATTGTATCGGAGAAGGGATCATAGGGATGGACCGAGTCCACGTATCGCCGATTGCTTTGCGGGTCGGGCAGGTTGTAAGGGTACGGCATCAGGCGCATGTTGGAAATATGAACTAAATTTCGAAGTAAGGCCAGCTCAGGCACTGCAAGGGGAACATGCATCTTGAAAAGGTGTCGCAGCATGCACAGCTCGGGAGACCAGGGGAGGATCACCACGGCATGAAATCCAGCAAGCTCATTGAAGGGAATGATGCGACCCATTTGGGCAATAATCTTGTATGGGAACATTGGCCCAGCCATGAACTGCAGCGAAGTTAAGAACGTGGTCTCGTACTTCAGGCGCCCGCGATTATGGACTAGCAACTCAGCACCTTGATGCCTCGAACGCAAAGGCGTGTACGTTGCGTTTACCCAGACTGACATTGGGCGCAGAAAAGGAACTTCTGCTGCTGTCTGCCAGAAAAATTGTTCACTTCGAAACAGCGACTCTGCTGCAATGAATACTTCTCCACTTACTGCTCGCCTTGTCAAGGATCGAACCCCTTTCCAGTATACATCCACGATGGCCTTGTTGCCAAGAAGCACGTCCTCAGCCACAGCCATCATGACAGGAGGCCCGAAATAGATTACAAGCTTGACTCCAGGAAAGCGTTGAGAAAGCTGAATGGCATCCAAGAAAGAAGTGCATGTGACAAGGTCAGGACGTTGAGACCGGCCATTCTCGTCACGAAACCACAGCCGCCGATCACGTGGATGAAGCGCATTCCGCTTCTCAAAGAGGTGCAGTCGCTTTTGTCCCTGTTGGACGTCAGGCCTGCCCCAGCGACGTATCCAACCAGGACGTTGGCTCCTCCTCCTTCGGCGATGTCGCTCAGTGCCGCGACGTTGCCGGCGTTCCTTGATATTGTCGCGGTGCCTCAGCACCTCCGGACAATGCAAATCCATAACCTGTGAACCCTCAGTTTTTGCGCAAACTTTCCGGATCGAACCTTCCAGCACAAACCGTGTCTCAAACCACGTCGGGAATATGCCGCGCAGGAACTCTGGGATCTCCAGGTCCAGTGCACCATGCTGAGATAGTACGGCCAACATCCTCACCCTCCGGGACCAAGTTGGCAAGAACTGCTGCTGAGCCACAAACAAATCCGGAACCTTGTATGGTAGGCCGAGTCGCCTCCACGGGAAGACTCGACTAGCTGGAAGTTCCTTCGTGGCAACCGCAATGACGTGCTCGCGAGCAGACATATACTCCGCCACTTGCCTACCCCAAGAAGTCACGCCTTGTGGATCCGTCCCAGCGTGGCGTCGAGCTGCAGAAGGCATCCTAACCGGCACAGGATCTGGCACACGCCGCGGTGCTCCGAGCACCGCCGTGACACGTGCCTGGTCTTCCGGAATACCGAACTCCCCACCCCTTAACGGCCGGTGAAGCAGCTGCTCCACAAAGCGTGTGTTAACCCCTGGCCAACCTGGAGCAGCTGTAAGATCCAACAAGCTTAAGCCTTCCTGTAGTAAAACACCATTGAGCAAGAATCCCATTTCCACACGCCACAGAAGGAAACCATCCTCGCTTTCATTTGTGCTTTTCCAATACATGCTCGAACCCAATACGTGAAGCGCCCGGCCAAGCACACACAACGCGGCCATCAGGCCTTGCAGGCATGATCCACCGAACATGTGTACTTTCTCACCAGGCGAAGTAACGTGGTCCAAATGCGCAGCCACGACTTCTGCAACGACGTTTCCTTTGACACTCGCCGCACCTTCCTTGTTGAAGGACCTCTGCGGCCCTGCGGCGGAATCTGCCGTGTTGTCTCTCACTTTCAGATCCATCCGCCGCCACATTTCTGTGATTAACTCGGCCTCCTTCACAAGGTCCCAATGATCTGGCTCGGCGACCCAGGACTGCTCATCCCCATAATTCCATTTGCCACTCTCTATGTGAGACACGAACTTTAAGCGAAACTGGGTCCAGGGCTCACCTTCACAATTCACCCAACTCACATACGACTCATTGAGCACACCTTTAGTCACCAAAGATGCCCAAAACTCCTGAGGCGCAGCGGCAGATGCACCACTGACATGCCCTGCCGTTGGAGGTCGAGGGCTTGCCACAAGTGCCACTACTGACATGGAAATTGTCGCTGGCAGAAAAACCCACATGGCATCCACTGATGTTGCCCATGCAACTGGCCGGTGTGTCCATGGCAGCAATACGCGATATGATGCTCGCAGAGTCAACGGGTCAACGGGCAGGCATGGGCAGGCTAAAAGGATTTCCGAGTAGACATTAGTCATGGAGATTTGAAGGCGCGTCCTCCTAGAAAAACCGCGGCTTGGAACAGAAAGCTTCAGTGCTCTCAACATGTAACATTGGCAGAAACAGTTCGAGGCATTCGGAGTGGGGAGACCATGCAAAGATGATTGACACGACACGCATCCATAGCGACCAGTCAAAAGAGCCAAGGTTCGCACGCTGCAAGGTTGGAAGAAACAGTGCCCCAGCACCAGCACCAAGCGGTCCAAGCATTAAGTTCCAACCTGTCAGGGCAAGCATCTTCTGAAAATTTTTTGGGATGGTATACACAGCTCAAACATACTTCCACCCTCGAACGTACCAACACAGCTTTTCTCAGCGAGAACCTGTGCACATTGGGGACTTTTCTTGGCGCACACGTTGTATTGCAAACATGCAGCGAGTGTAGCGGGATTGCGTTGATGCCCCACTGTCACACAACCTGCTGTCTGTTGGAGTGAGCGAGTGGCTGGCACACGTGGATGCATGGGGACCGTGGTGGAGAGATGTGGAGAGGGCGGTTGGCAACCTGTTTGCCCTCCCTCTTCTCCTGAAAGTGGCCTGCTGTCTCAATGAGTCTCCGATGCTGATCCCATCTTCATAAAGAAGCTGCAGGAACAACAAAACAACAATATATCACTGGCAACAATTGAGCAGCAAACCGAGAGTTTCCAAATCCCCCTAGTGCACATAGGAACTGGATAGTTGGGCAATGTGGGGGCGAAGTGTTTCAGACGCATCCAAGTCATCCGAATCACAGCAACCAGCCTTCTTGAAGTGCCACTGTGTGGGCTGCCAAAAACAAGCCCCCTGCAGCATTGAAGCCCTCACAGTGCGCAGGTGCCGTTCCGATGGTGCAATCCGAGGAAGGAGCCGGCACCGCATATGCACCTCGCCGCATTGTTGAGCCAACAACGAAGACACACATATTGTGGTGAAAAAAACCCATCTGGGCAGGTAACAAAGACAGCGCATTGCTCAGGCGTGCCGCCCGTGTAATGCCGACGTGCTCCATGCTGCGGTCTACATGATTTATTTTCCTGAAAGGTTGCTCGTTGTGGGTAAACTTTGGCATCCCTCGGCCGTGCACCGTGCAAACATTTTGGCGCCCTACACAAAGTTCCACATGTGTTTCTTGTGATTCTTGAGCCGGGTCGATCATCTGCCTTGGAGCTCACCTTTGAGGTTTCTAATGACAAGGCGAGCAACCTGGTTGCGAACGCTCGAGTTGCAGCGAAGTCCGAAGGATAGGCAGACCAGCTTCAGCCAGCCTTTTGTTCGCTGCTTTTCCACCTGCATGACACCGTCGAGATATCGGCCCACACACGGCGGCGGTGCATCACTACATGCCGCACAAAATGCACCGCTGTGCCTTCAAGGCCGCACACGCGATCCGGTCTGCGGGCCTGTTGTCGTTTCGAACATGCTCGAACCCGCACAACAAGGTCACGAGCAGCTGTCTTGCACCGGCAGTGCAATGTGTTGTGCAGGGCGTCGGCGAGCAACTCCGGTATTGGCGGCCAGCTTGCCGTATTCTTATCTGACTGACAGATTACCTCTAATAATGAATAATGATAAAAGTGTGTAAAGAGAACTCATGCCTTGTAACATGTTACAACGAATATTTAAAAGAAATCACATTTTTTTCTCGTACTTTTGCGCCAGCATGCATGTTCATCCGGAGTCTGCTACCCTAGGCCTAGGCAGCCGCCACGGGAGCTCACGGCGCCGGCAGCGCTCGTCGCGTCCGCCAGGAGGTCGCCCAACGGCGGCTCAGCTCCGTCACACTCGTCAGCTCCCGCCATCGGGAGCTCGAGCAGGGAGCAGGCCAAGGCTCGCTGCGCGGCGACGGCGATCGGGCCGGTCCAGCGGTGGAAGTGGGCATGCCGCGCGGCGGCGCGCAGCTGCGCCGGCGCCTCGCGGGCTTTGGCATTCGCCAATCCACGGAGGAATCCGACGGCTTCGACGCCGAACCTGCCGCCCACCTCCAGCCCGATGATGACAAAAATTATATAATTTGTTTCTGGCACCTGGCACGTACGCGGGTTGGCGCACGCAGGCGGTCGAGGGTACTGCGGCTGCGGAGGCGGCGGGCCAGGAGTTCGTGCAACTGGGGCACGGCCGCCTCCCCGGGAGCTCGGGTAGGCGCGCTGGGTGGCAGCCGCCAGCAGCGCGGCCCATCGCGCAATCCAGGCGGACTGCGCGGCAATACAAGCAGTGTTTGTCCGTCGTTATAATATAGCGGCGTGTGAACAACATTCCATGGAGGTCAGCCTGAACGGCTGCCAAAGCCAGTTTGGCTCAAGCCATTTTGGCTCGAGCCTTCGTCTAAGGATGTGAAAGGGCCGCAGGACACAGTCGGAATCGCCAGTCAGTCAGTCAGTCCGTCAGTCAGTCAGTCAGTCAGTCAGTCAGTCAAGGCTTCCTGTACATGTGACACATGGGCAACCGCATGATGTTTTTTTTTTTCCCCCGCGCACCTTTTTTTTGCTCAAGGCTCAAGCACCGTTGGCTCAAGCGCTCCGAAAATAGGGACAAGTAAATGCATGGTCTTTGGGGCTTGACTGCTTCGTGACAAAGTGTTACGGAACCGGCAGCTGTTGACGTGATTGACAAATGTCGGAATCAATGACACCGCCTACAAAAGCAGTGAAACGGGCCACTCGTTCTCCTTTGACTTCGATGGATGATGATGATGATGATGATGATGATGATGAGGAGCTAGAGTTGCAAGTTGAAGGAAATGTGGGCTTGTCCGTTGCAACTGTAGCAAACATTGTGCGTAGCGAAATTCAGCGAGGGATAGCCCCGGTGGCGACCTTGCAATCAGCGTTTGGAGAAAGGCTTGGACAGTTGGAAAGTTCAGTGTCCGCTCAGGGCTCTCGTATCCAGAAACTTGAGCAAATCATGGCCAGTGCTGATGGCACAGCAAGATCAACTGCGTCAGACCACTCTGCAAAAATCGAGAAGCAAATGCGATTTGTTTGCTAAAATGGAATTGCTGAGAGAACCTCCTGTCGCCATCCAGCATTATTACACAAGAACAATGGTTGTCGGAGGGCTCCAAGGCCTCACGTCTTTGCAGCAAACCACGTTATGGTTGTCCAAAACGTTGAACTCGCTCGGTGGCCCATCACATGTCGGAGCCTACATGAAGTCCAAGGCCTTTCAAGGGCTGATGTTTGCAAAGTTCAAGTCCACAACGGATCGAGACATTGCAGTCGCTTTGCTTCGTAGCGCTGAATTGACCGAAGCCGGCAACAGGGTGTGGGCGACGCAGGATCTCCCGTTAGAGAAGCGAACTCGCAAGACGTTCCTACTTGGTCTGAAATGGCAGCTGGGCGAATGGGGTTTCATGAAACGAGAGATTGAAATCGATGATGATTATAGTCAGCTCAAAGTGGGTCATCGTGGGTACGCACATGCAATGCAATTGGGTAGATGCATGGGCGCAATGGGAGGATCTGCAGACAAGCGAGGAACTCAAGCAGCTCTTCGCCCGTGCAAGCAACTCCTTACAGAAGATGGGTGGGGCCAAGGGTCGTGGCAAAAGCAAATCGGAAGTGGCCGAGGCCACTTCATAGGGACAGCTCCGTTCGGGTCCAACAGTTTCACCAACACAGTCGCGCACTTCAGGTCCCACGCCTGTTTACAAGTGGATAAGCCGACTATTGACGCAATTCAGGCACAGACACATTTATGGGTTTTTTTTTCCAAAAATGCTCGTTTACACACGTCAAACAGGCTTGCGGAGATGCTGAGTGAATTATCAACTTGCGATTGGGATGTGGTGTTATTCAGTGAAACACGCCGCGCACATGGAGACTGCAAATTACAAGACGGTTATCGTTTATATTTATATACCACGCAACAGCATGCAGGTTCAGCAAGCGTTGCTGTTCTATTGCATGCTCATCATGTGCAACATGTCAGAAAAGTTTCGGCCATTGGCAACCGTATTATACATGTTGATGTCAACGTCGATGGTATCCACCGATTCATTGCTTGTTATATGCCACATGCCGGGTACCCGCATGCAGATCTTTGCGATGTATATGAACCGTTCGTCGGGTCGTGATTTTAAGCGATTGGAATCACTTCTTCGTACTCTCGCACATTCTCAGCAACATCACCCTGAAGAAGTACCATCAACGGAGGATTTTACCTCGTATCTTCGTGGTATATTCTCTACCGACAGTGACTGGGAGCAGACCTCGCACTTTTCATTTGCGGATATCTTGCCACTTTCTTTGGAGGAGTTGCAGGCCGTTTTGAAGCGCATGAAAAATCAGCGAGGGGGCTGATGACGGTGGTCTTGTCGTTGAGATGTTCAAATTTGGTGGCCGAGATCTTCACCAATGCTTGCTTCAAATTTTCAACAACATGTTGGCCAGTGGCAGATTGGAATCTTCGTGGCAACACTCCCTCTTCAAAATGTTGCCGAAACCCGGTGATTCGTCCATGGTAACAAATTGGAGACTGATCGCAGTTCTCAAAATTACCTACAAAATCTTTTCGAAGCTCGTACATACGAGAATCCAAGATCTACTGGAGCTTGAACAAAGTTGTTTTTGACACGGTTTTGTCCAAAGCTGTGGGGTGGAATTTTCACGTTTGGTGCGCCAGTCTGCATTTGAAGAAGGCCTCTGACCGCATCGAGTTCAAACCACTTTTCGAAGCATTGCGATGTCAGGGTCTGCCCGACTGCTACATCAACTTATTGCAAACATTGTACCGCTCACAATGTGGATCAGTGAACAAGGGTTCCCCATTTGACATCCAACGCGGGGTGAAACAGGGAGATGTTATGTCGCCCGCTTTATTCAACGCTGGCTTGGAGCACGCTTTCCGACAGTGGATTCAACGACTGATGGAGCATGGTCATGGTCTTGACGTTGGAGCAATCGAACGACTCACAAACATCCGATACTCTGACGACATCATGATTTACGCAAAATCTTGGCAGGAGCTTGTATATATGATCGAATGCCTCGTACAAGAACTTGGAAAGATCGGTTTGCATTTGAATGCATCAAAAAGCCGAATCATTACTACAGCCCACATAGACGGACCCATGTACATCAATGTTAGCGAGGACATGGTCGAGGTATTGACTGCAGGCGACGTTCACGAATACTTGGGACGACATATCAGTGCAGATCCTCGATGCCGCAGTCAGACAGAACTCAAGCATAGGTTCCAAGTGGGATGGGCAAAGTTTCGGAAACACCGTCATATTTTTAGAAACAAACATGTGTCCATCGCATTGAGATTAAAATTTTTTGATACTGATATTGCTGAAACAGCAAATTGGCCGCCCGCTGCAAGCCAGTACGTACAAAGCTTTGCGAATGTATAGACCGAATCGTGCCAACAGTCAAGCATGCCCCCATTCCCCATGTCCTTATGGGACCGTGGTCCACTAGCAGCAGGAACAGTCTGACGTAATGTTTCACGTGGACCCGAACGGCCGAAAGCGAAAGCAAAAGCACCTTTTTGAAACTGCAAGACACATCCCGGTCCCAGTGCAAGCGCCCAGGGCAAGCGCCCAATGCCGCGGCAGCACAACCAGTTTACGACCTGCGGCTGGCGAGGGGCTGCGCGGAAGAGTCAGCAAGAACGTCACTGAGCAGCGGTGAGTCGCCATCCATGTTGGCCGTGCCGGACATGCTGTCCCAGTTCTTGCCCCACGCCGGGTAGGTGTGCACGTTCGACCATATCGATGCCTCATCGTATCGCGCGGCATCTCGCAGCAGCTGTCAATGCCCGATTTGCAGGCTATCGTAAATATTGCCATGTCCCACCGCGGAGGTGTGTAAAGCCGTCGCAGATGACAGGCGCATCGAAGTCGTGGCCAACGGCTTGTCCCTTTGGCACGGCTCGCAGCTCGCGGTTGACGCCACGCTCGTCTCCCCGCTCACACGTACGGGCGAGCCCCACCCGCGGGCTGATGTTGAGCCGGGGCGCTCTGTCACCGCAGCAGCGCGGCGCAAGCGACATGGCACGTACCCCGAGCTCCTCCGTGCCCGGCGGTGCCGCCTGGTCGTCATTGCCCTGGAAGCGGGTGGGTCCTGCGCCTCCTGGCCCGCCACCGAGCTGCCACCATCCCAGCGCACCTCCGACCGGCGGCTCAGACCGCCTGGGTGGCACGATGGGCGGCGCTCCTGGCCGTTGCGGCCCAGCGCGCGTTCGCATCTTCCTTGCTCGAGCTGCCCCTTGCAGGTGAGAGCAACGGCGATGATGCCGCGCCTGAGCTGCACGAGGTCCTGGCCGATGGCCGCTGGGACCGCCCCCCGCCCGCCAGCCGCGTGCCGCCGCGGCGGTGAGGCCCCTCCCTCCCAACCCCGACCCCCGCTATGACAGGCTGCGGAAAAAGGCGCGCGGAGAAAAAAAAAAAAAAAAACCGTCGATGTCTAGAATGATTTTGACATTGACCTGACGTCATTCTCAATCGCGATACATTCCAAAAAGAAACCGCGTAAACCATCCACCGAATTTTCGTATAGCGGAACTTTCCTCCGGTCGCCGCTGCCGGCTTGTCGTGCTGGGCATTGAGGTTGGTGGGCGCTGGAGCCCTCAAGCCGCTGAGTTTGTCCGACTCCTTGCTCGCAGCCGGGCCCCCGGCACAGTGGGCTGCATGCACTGCCGTGCTCGCGTCGCGCTGGTCTGCGCTGCTGGCCATCGCAGCCGCACGTTCCTTTGCAGCCAGCCGTCTTTCCCTTCCACTGTGGCGGTCCAGAAGGGAAGAGATACTCCTCTGATATTGGAAAGCAGATTTGGTGAGGACCAGCTAACTATGTCTGAGCCTACTCTTGCTGGAGAGGAACATAGGCTAATTAATGGTTGCGCCAGAACTCGTGCCTTTTCGCATGCATTTTTTACGGACGCCCGTCCGCGTACAAGTGGTGGGACGACGAGGGGTGCGCCACGAAATATGCCAGGCGGAGGGGTGCCGGGTGACCCTCTCGCCCCGGCCCTTTTCGCACTTGGCCAGCATGATGTGCTGTGTCAGGCCGACTTGCAGTTGAGGCCAGGCGAGTCCCCCATGGCTTTCTTGGACGACCGTTATGTCCTGCTGCCGGAATTCGCCCGGGCACAAGCCGCTATGGACCTGGTCACAGGAACCGTCGAGGCCTATACTGGAATCGCTGCCAAATCGGGTAAGACGTGCGTCTTCAACTATGCGGGTGGCCCGGCGGGGGGTCGCCGCGTTGGGCCCCGAGGTTTGGCGTGGCGAGAGGCCTCCCTGGGAGCGTGGCTATGTTGCTTTCGACACCCCCATCGGCATGCCGGAGTACGTCCGCAGTTGGGGTGCGGAAAGGCTCGAAGTCGAGGACGAGTTGCTCCGCCAGCTCCCCCTTAAACCCGACCTCCAGAGCGCATGGCTCCTGAGCTTTTGTGCGGCGCTGCGAGCAAACCATGCGCTGAGGACGGTTTTTTTGCCCGACCTTATCGCGCCGTACGCAGTGGCATGTGGCATGCCCCGCCAGGGACATAGCCCATCGCGTACACGGAACGCTTTCTTCCGCATGCGCCAACGCACGACAAGCGGACGAAACGCGTCGCCGGTTGCGATGCCTTGCACGCCCCCACCGGGTTTGCGGATCGCTGTCGTTCGGGTCATCGCCATGCCTTCTGCGATCTGGAGCGGGATAGCAGCTTGCGCCAGCAGCACGAACGGGAGCAGCTCAGGCCATGCCTGTGGCAGCTAGGCCAAGAAGGCCGCGCGGGACATGGACTTGCACGCGCTACGGCCGTTAGGGTGCCGGCTCGTTGTGGTCGGGATTGAGCTTGGAGTGCGATGGAGCGAGGAGGCAGCCCAGTTCATTCCACTCCTCGCTCGTAGCCACTCCCGCGCAGCCCCTCCCCTGCTGCGATCCAGCGCCAGGGCCGCCTACGTCGCCCGCTGGTCAGGCCTCCTCTCCTTTGCAGCCGCACGAGCACTTGCCGCGAGTCTTCTCTCGCTGCCCCTCGCCAACGCGGCCAATGTT